CCCCTCAGCAGTGTACTTGGGTCCTTCTGCCTGCTCTGCTCCCCGCTCTGGCTCTGGTGAATTTTCTCACCCTCCTGCGCTTCTGACTATACCCAGTGCTTGTATAAATAAATAAGTAAATAAAAATAAAAAATAAATCTTAAAAAAAAAAACCAAAACATAATAAGGGCCTCCCTGGTGTTGCAAGGGGTTAAGCACAGCACTGTGAAGCTATCCACAGCCTCTGTAACATGAGTTCGATCCCCACCAGGCCAGGGAGCTACCCACATGGACGGCAGACCTCTCCTGCCTCGCCCGCTGCTCCCCTCAGCAGTGTATTTCAGTCTGTCTGCCTGTTCTGCTCCCCACTCTCTCTGTTGAATCTTCTTATCCCCGGCCCCACACCTCTGTCTTGTACCCCAGTTCTTGTACGCATAAATAAATCTTAAAAAAAAAAACATAAGATACCACCTCACACCTACTAGATAGCTATAAAAATTAACCAGTGTTTGCAAGGAAGTGGAGAAATCAGAACCCTTGTGTACTGCTGGTTGGAATGCATGGTATGTATGGCCACCGTGGAAAAGAGTTTGACAGTTCCTCAAAGTGTTAGGGGGAAAAGGATGTCCTAAAGCTAATTCCATACAGGCTTTGTGGACTCCACCCCCACTCCAGACCAAAGCCATTAGGACATTGGGAAAGACAAATTCCATCACCACCAAAGGGAAGGTTGCTGGAACCTGAGGGTGGGGTTAAACAGCCAGGTTTGGTATAAAACCAGACACGTGGGCTTTGGGGGGGGATTCCCTTTTTGGCTCTCTGCCAGCTCACAGCACTTGGCCAGCTCTCAGAGTGCCATTGGGTTTCCAGGTCGGCGGATCGGGTAGGACGCATTAAAGACTTTATTTCCCTATTTTCTCCCTGAGTTGTACATTTCCTCATTTCCCTTTCCCTTGTAAATAAACCTTTTATTAACCTTTTGTGTGTGCCTGTAATGGAGTATTAATAAGTCCCTTTTAAGTGCACAGGTGAGGACCCACAGGCAGGCAACCCGTTTTATATTGGGGCTGCTCCATAACAGTTTGGCACCCAACGTGGGCGTAGGTGAGGACTCACAGCCAGGCAACCCGTTTTATATCGGGGCTGTTCCATAACGAAAGGTTTACACAGAGAGTTACTCTATGGCCCAGCACCAAGCACTGCTACCCCTAGGTGCATACACAAAAGAAAGGAACATGGGTATTCAGACAAAAAATTGTACATGAATCTCCACAGCAGAATTATTCAAAATAACAAAAAGGTGGTAACAACCCAAATGTCCATCAACTGGCAAGTGTATAAATAAAATGCATTATTATCTGGAGGTATAATTCCATTTGGACACACATGAGAAAATCTTTGAAGTACAAGTGAAAATTACTTGCTTCTCCATATTTCTGTCTCTGTTGGTTTCATTTTTCTGATTCTTGAATCAGACAGGCTCCTTGTCCTCTAGCTTCATACAAGATTCACCACATTATTTTACATCGACCACAGTAGAGCAGAATACTATGACATAATAAATAAATATTTGTCCCTTATCTCCAGTCATCCCCTAGCACAGAGCTCAAAAGCCCTTGAACTGTGAAAGGACCTCTTCTGTATTCCCAAGAACCAGTGTTCTAACCACACCTGAGTTTACAATAATAAGGTCACTCCAGAGGAAGTAACCCAGTGGATAGAGGGTTGAAACTTTCCAAGAAAAGCACAGAAAAAAAAAAAAAGTTAAATGTTCATGAGGCTTTGTAAACAAGTCGATCTCATGCCAGAACTCACTCAACCTGAATTGGCCATGAGTAGCATTCTAATGTTGATTTATAACCCAAGTCTTTTTACCATTCAAGGCAACACAGAGCCCTGAGCTCTGGTATCAAAACAGCAACCAACAAATTAGCATCACTGTTTGCAAACTTCAAGCAAACAAACATCTGCACCCAAAGATTCTCTTCACACAAAAGCCTTTCGAAGTATTCAGAGGATGGCACAAAACATAAAACTGGAGTCATATATTTGAGTGGAATGGTTCTGTGTACACTTCTACTGAAGGACTGACACAGAGGGATGACAACATAAAAAAAAAAATCATAAATCACTTCATTTTAGAGCTCTGAAGGCCTGGGAAGATCACGTCAACCAGAAGCAGAACCATGGCAATTTTTGAAAAATAACATCTGCCACATGCCCTTCTACTTTGAGATTTAATTTTTAAAATTTAGTTGAATATACTCGTTAACACTGAGTCAAAAGTTTATATCTTGAAAAGCTTCTGAATGTGGAATTTTTAAAAAAGCATTAGGGTCTCTAAGGATTAATTTTTCTTATAAACAGTAAACTATCAAAAGCAACACATCCTAAGATGCATCCTAACATTTCATTTTATATATACAGAAACTAAGTCCAATGATAGCAAATGATTGACCCAAGGTCAATAATTCTCAGCAAAATGATGTTCCTAAGTGAAATATTCTAAAAACACTACACATAAGGTCATTGATGCAAAACATTGATTGTTTCTCACGGTAATTTACTGATGTTCTGAGAGATATTAACAGATACTCAGCAAATGGGGATCACAGGTCAAATAAGTTTGTATATGTTGGATTAAACAACAACTCTTACAGTCTTAACTATACTAACAGGATTTATGAACTTCCCAGAGGAGATACAAAGCAATTGGTTTTGTTTTATAAACTTATTTGAATACAGATGTCACTTTTCCCCCATATTATATAGTCTCAGATTAGTGGAAATGCTGTCTTAAATTGTATCCTAGAGTTGGTCGGGTCACTGCAGAATTTATCATGTCAGTGTCACCAGAAGACTAAAATTTTATCTAATTATGCAGCACTTCAGTCCATATTCCTTTAATGGCTCCCTTCTGCCCTCTGGATTAAGTTCACTAGCATAGGGTATAAGGTTCTTGATAATCTGTACCAGCCAGATTTTACCATTCCTCAACTGGAACTCTAAGTTCCCAAGCTCATCCCGTATACTAGAGAGATACCACTAACTCAAACCCACTAACAGTGGGGGAGGGAGCTCCTTAATAGGTATATCTGGGGCTTCTCAGATATATGGCATAAAGGGTTAAGACATAGCACTATGAAGCTATTCCCAGCCTCTGCAGTCTGAGTTTCATCCCCGGCCAGGGAGTTACCCATATGGTGCAGCAGACCTCTCCTGACTCGCACGCTACTCCCCTCAGCATTGTATTTCAGTCAGTCTGCCTGTTCGGCTCCCCACTCGGTCTCTGGTGAATCCTCTCACCCCCCGCCTCTCTGGCCTGTACCCTAGTTCTGGTATGCATAAATAAATAAATTTTTAAAAAATAGGTATATCTGATTCCCTAGTGGCATCTGGAAGGAGATTTGCTTAGATACAACTTGAGAATAACCTTTTCTCCCTAAAACTTTCAAAAATATAAAAAATATTCTGAGTTCTCAGAAAGAACAAAAACAGATCACATCCTGTATGTGGCCCCCTGGGCCCAGGTTGCTAATCCCTGGATTAGAGAAAAGCATATTTAAGACAATCCAGGGCATTCAAGACCACCCACAATGAGCAGTGCCACAGGACATGGAAGGAAAAGGGAGGATGTGCTCTACCTATAGAATGTAGAAGTCTGGTTAAGAAGGCGCAGAGGAGGGCCTCCCTGGTGGTGCAAGGGGTTAAGCACAGCACTATGAAGCTATCTTCAGCCTCTACAGACCAAGTTCAATCCCAGGCCAGCCAGAGTGCTACCCACATGGTGCAGCAGACCTCTCCTGTCTCACATGCTGCTCACCTCAGCAGTGTATTTCAGTCAGTCTGCCTGTTCTGCTCCCCACTCTGTCTCTGGTGAATCCTCTCACCCCCCCACACCTCAGGCATGTGCCCCAGTTCTACTCAGAAAGAAAAAAAAGTATCCAAATCATTTCTCCGTCCGTATCACTGGGTGCAAGGGAATAGTGGAGCAGTAGAGGGGTGTTAGGAAGAAGAACTGTGCCTAGAACTCTGCATCTAGCAAACCACTAGCATTTCATATGACAGCGAAAGACATTTCGGGATGTGGAAATATTTAAGTGTTTACAACTAGTAATGATTCAAGGAGACAGCAGTTACATAAAAGAAGTAATGCTGAAAAAGGAAAATTTTACAATTTCTTATTTCTCAAATAGGTGAAAATCAAGAAAAGTGTTATTTACTAACAATCTAAGGAGATAAAGGAAGGCTTTAACCAACGTGAGAATTGGGGAGTATGAATCTGACAAGAGCAAAAGTATGATAAGGTTCTAATTTGCTTGGGAAGCAGATTTACACACTGATTTTTTATTATAACGGTTTCTACAATAATTAGGCTGAAATGTGCACTGAATTTAAAATTGATAATTAGAACAAACCATTAGGAGGAAAAATACACGGATGTGCAGACATAAAAAGGTAACGGCAGGCTTCCTCCCTCCAGTAATAATGAATTGCTCGTGCTATTCTGTACATGCTAATTAGATCCACTTCCTCCTCCACAGCCTGAGTACTGTCTACATCCAAACCTTTCCATAAATCCCCACCGTCCTCCTTGTCCCCACCCCTGCTCCCACTATGTGATACTTTTCTATGACAACACCTATAACAATCTTGTAAGTAACCTTGCTCATTAAAGTTCCTTGAGGCCCAGGACAGTCTTATTTCTATACTCTTTATCATACTCTAGTTATTCAAAATGTTGACTGGATGTATATAGAAGCACTTTTAAACATTTTAAAGACATGACACTGTACGTGATCATGGTCAGTTATTGGCTGCAAAACAGTCAGGGCCATGTTTAAGTTACTATGACATTCTCATAGAGTCATCCTTCCATCACTCTGTTAAGTTTAGGAATCAGCTGAAGATGCAGGAGAAGGAACTAGACAATGTAAGATACTTTTCATCTCCAGAGCTCTAAGTTTAGATAACAACTCTAAGAAACACTGTGACTCATCATCCCTGAAATCATACTACACCTGCAGAAGCTCCATGTCTTCAGGGTTTTCAGACCCAGGAACATTCTCCATCAGTATGGCAGACATGACCCTCACATTCATTTTCACCATATCCAATTCACTGTGTAATTTTCCAATCTGTAAAGAGCAGCACAATCACCAGTAAGTGTGACAGCTGAAGAATGACTACCTTGTTCCCTTCCCCCAGGGGGCATTTGTTGGAAGAAAAAATATTACTGCATTTTTGCAAAATTTAATGTTTTCAAATTTACATGTAAATGCATATAAATATACTTATCATTATTTTACAAATGTATAATATGTTACCTTCAAAAAACATAAAATGTCTTGCAAATAAACTTTTAAATATGGTAGAGCAAGTTGAAAGTGAAGGTAAGGGAGTCAGATTAGAACTGATATGGAAAAGGTGAAGGATTCTAAGAACGTGGCCAAAATGCAGGTTAGCCTGGATTTCTTGGCAAGCAATGAGAAAAAAAGGCAAAACAATGAAGGGTTTTGTGTTTCTCATATTAGGGAAGAAAGAATCAAACCAAAAACATTTTCTTCCTGAGTTAAATTTTAATAGGAATTAATCACACAGATTTTTATGAGAATAACTAAATAATAACAGTATGAATAATAACAATACAAAACCATCAATGATAGCTCCCTGATAGTAGGACAGAAATGAGCTTATTTAATAATTGCTTATCTGAATCTGACAAACAGGCATAGATGAAGTAATTAATATAACTTCTTTAGCACGGTACAAGCAACCATCACTTACTGATTTCACTGAAATGGTACAAGGACAGACCTACCAGGAATAACAGGAATGAGCTGGCAGACATAAGACCCATTCCATAGCCTAGCCTCCACAAAGCCACAAAAGCCACGATCTGAACACACATGAGCTCAGGTTTTAGAATAAGACAGAATGCACAGGACTAATTCTATTTAGACCCGAAACATGGTAAGTCCTCTAGCATCACCTAAGCTCCAGTTTCCTCTATAAACTGAGGGCACCAGTGTACCTCCACCCAAAATGTTAACAAAAATAAACCAATTAGATGTAAAGTGTTTAAAACTTAAAAATAAGTCACCACAAGGATACTTATTGCTGTTACCTGTTCTGGAACCAATTTAATTGTTGAGTTTTTTGGAGCAACGACAGAAGAAAGAGCTGGTGCAGTGGGAACAGCTGGTGACTGGCTTGATGACATCTGGGCAGTTAATTGAGATGAAATATGGAAATATTATTATTTAACAGCCACCCCAAGCTCAGTTTTTCTCTTCTGATGACTCAATCATTCTCTCTCAACCAAAGTCCTGGGTAGAGAGTGCTAACCCAGAATAAATCAAGTGTACAACCTACTCAGCATTTTGAGAAGAGTACAAAGCAAATTTTATATGCAGAACAGAGCCCGCCTTCTAAAAGGGGGTGACAATTATAATTGCTAACTGAATTATAATTTGATGCCCTTAGTTTTTTGGTTTTCTTTTTTTTTAGGACCTGAGCATCAATATTTATTTTTCAAATTTTTTTTTATTATTACATCATTGTTCATTTTTAAACAATATTTGCTTCCCCCCTCCCCCTCAGGTGTAGTCCCCATAGAATTTCCTTCACCAATGCACCCGTGCACATCACCTCAGTCCCCTATGCTCCTCCCTCCCTCCCTTTGATCCCTCTCCCACCTCCTCCCCTGGAGGATGTCTCTGATTTATAATTGTCCGTTTTTGCTTTGTTGTGTTTTGTACTGTTATTATTGTTTACACTGATGTCTTATTTGGTTCCTCTATATTCCTGTTATAAGTGAAACCATCCAATATTTTTCTTTTTCCTTCTGACTTATTTCACTGAGCATAATTCCTCCTAGCTCCATCCACATTGCTGTGAATGGCATGAGTTTATCTTTTCTGATTGCTGAATAATATTCCATTGTGTATATAAGCCACGTCTTCTTGATCCAGTCATCTATTTTTGGGCATTTGGGTTGTTTACAGGTTTTGCCTATTGTAAATAGTGCTGCAATAAACATAGGTGTACAGGTGTTCTTTTGAATCAATGTTTTTGTGTCCGTTGGGTAGATCCCTAGAAGTGGAATTGCCGGGTCATGTGGTAGCTCCATTTTTAGTAGACTGAGGACCCTCCAGACAGCTTTACATAATGGTTGGACCAGTCTCTACTCCCACCAGCAATGTAGAAGAGTTCCTGTTCACCACATCCTCGCCAACATTTGTTGTTGCTTGTTTTTTTGATATGTGTCATTCTTACTTGGTGTAAGGTGGTATCTCAATGTGGTTTTAATTTGCATTTCCCTGATGATCAGGGATGATGAACATTTTTTCATATGCCTGTTGGCCATTTGCATTTCCTCTTTGGAGAAATGTCTTTTAAGTTCTTCTGCCCATTTCTTGACTGGATTGTTTATTTTGTTTTTGTTGAGTCTGAGTCTTGTGAGTTCTTTCTATATCTTTGTGATCAGACCCTTATCAGTTGACTGCAGTAATGCCCATAGTTTTTACCAAGGATCTAAGATAAACTGCCACATGAGATAACTGTTGCCCTCTTTTAGAGTTTTCCAAAAACAACTGGTGAACTAATTCATGGAAAGACATCTACACCAAAGGCTATTTCCCAGAGTCAATGCCTCATTTCCAACCCTGGCGAGTGAGGGCACACAGGTCAGGGCTCCATGTCTGTGCTTGTCATTACTATGCATAGGGCACACCTGAAAATCTTATAAACATGAAGATTCTGATATAGTCTAGACTGGAGTATGCCTCACAGGCTCTAGATTACACCCCAAATCACATTTATATAACAAGGTCCCTGCTTACAACTACATTTTGCCTTAGAAGAAAGGAAATACAGATTATGATGAGCAGGGTCATGGGCAGAGAAGAGCCAGGCGCTCCTCATGAGGAGCAGCCTGTACACAAAGAAGAGTTAGGCCTGAGGATAAACCCTCCATGAAACTCAAACTTCCAGTATATACCTGAATTGCTTATTCAAGCAAAGCAGGACTCACCAACCTACAGACAGGAAGAACTACTATTTTCCCATATTGGAAATTACACAAAAACCAAAGTTGAATTATAATCAGCTACCTGAAAGTGTTGCAAGTACAAAACCTTGAAAAGTATTTGCAATCTTGAGAATGAATACAAGGAACATCTATTATTTATTATTAGTAATAATCAAGTGTATCATGTGATTACCTATGGTAGAGACCCTTTCTAGTTTAGCACCAGTCCTATCCTCTGAAAATAGCCCCATCCTCTGCTCGAGCCAAATGAGTCCCATGGCCTTACCTGACCTCAGCTGAATAGTGAAAAAGAGAAAACTCACCCAGGTTGGTTCAATAAGTCCCTTCTCTAAGATTTTTACACTTAGAGTCTATACAAGCTAAAGCTGTAATGTGAAAATTTGGGACCTATGGATCTACTGTATAGAAAAAGCTAGTCTTCAATGAGAGAAGATTAAGCTACTGATCAGATGATCAATGACAAGTAGACAAGTAATGAGGCATTTGTCTGGTTCTCTGCTGTTCCAAAGGCCCAGCTCCAAACACCTTCTTGTGCCTTGGTTATTCTGAGATGCTGCAACATCTTTCAAATGATTTTTTTTTCCATAAGTTGGATGGCACTAGGACTGCCCCTTTCTTTATTTTTTTAAATAAATTTTATTTTTATATTCCCCATACAATTGCAATCCCCTTATTTTGACCCCAATCCCTCCCCTCCCCACCCCCCACCCCCCATAGAGTGTCTCTGGTTCATAGTTTTTTGTTGATTTTGATTTTCACTTTCTTATAGTTATTCATTTTCCTGGTCCCTTGTTTAAGTTTTCTAGATTCCTGCTATGAGTGAGACCATGCGGTATTTTTCTTTTTCTTTCTGGCTTATTTCGCTGAGCATGATCCCTTCCAGCACCATCCATGTTGCTGCAAATTGCATGTGTTTATTTTTTTTGAATGCTGAGTAATATTCCATGGTGTATATGTACCACATCTTCTTGATCCAGTCATCTATTTTTGGGCATTTGGGTTGTTTCCAAAGCTTAGCTATTGTAAACAGTGCTGCTATAAACATAGGGGTGCAGGTGCTCTTTGGAATTGATGTTTCTGTGTAGGACTGCCCCTTTCAATGAGAAAATATATTATCTTACTGTACATGAGTTTAAGAAAGGCCTCCTACCTCTTGTCCTGCTATTGCAGCCTCTGCGTCTGAGAGAGGAAAGTGAACACCTTTCTTAAGCAGGTCAAGGTACACTTCTTTCACTTCACTTACATCCACACCTCCTGGGAAACCCTGTGACCAAGTCTGAATTCAAGAGATGATTTCAGAGTTAACACAGCAGCAAAAACAAGACACAATTCTTGAGTTGAAGATAAGAAATGAGAGCTTAACTATTGCATACACTACTCAGTTACTTTTCAATGTCATAGATCAGATGCCCATTTTCAAAGAATAGAATAAGAATATACAGTATTTTTTAATTACTAGGCTCCCATACTTGAAAATTTTGTTGAAAACTTGGAATAGGTATTATCATTTGTTTTTGCTGTGATAATTCAGAATCAATAGAGCCTAAAATAGCATCAGGTCTTTAAGTAACTTTGAAAACAGTTATCTACTATTGGGCCTTCCCTGGTGGCACAGTGGTTGAGCGCTGGGCTGCGAGGCTGCCTGCAGCCTCTACAGTGCCGGTTCATTCCCCGGCCGCCAGCGAGGGTCCCACCAAAAAAAAAAAAAAGTTATCTACTTCAGAACATAGTTTCCACACTCCCGAAATGATGTACACATGACCCTTTACTACCTGATGTGGATAAAATAGAAACCAAGAAAAGCAGAAAATGACTACAAAATCTTCACAAAAGAGGTTACCTTCCAATGCCAAGAAATTATTACATGGTAGCAAAATGCTTTCTGGCTCAATACTAGGTTGATAAGGGACCACTGAACCAGCTGGGAGGCAAGTCATTAGATCCCTAACCTTAGACATTCACCACCCCAAAAGATATATAACAGACTCACCTTAATGAAGGTCAAGATTCTATTCTGAATTTCTAGTGGCAAGTTGTATCTGGGATTCAGCAGCTTAACTAGACTATCTTTAACAAATTCTTTCTTCACAATCAGACACTGGAAACTTGGACCACAGTTCTGCATGCACATGTCAATAAGCTAAATGAGAGAGAAAAATTTATACATTTTATATTTCTAACAAAACCACTTCATAAATAAAAGATAAACAGTGCTAATGCTAATGATTCCCACCAGCATTCTAATGAACAGATTTTAGTAATACTAAAATATATGGTAAAATGTTAGGTTCTGGGGATGTGAGGAGGTAGAAGATATAATGTAAGTGCTCAGAGAATAGCCTTGATGGAAAGTTGGGACACAATTACAAAAACATTAATAGCAATACAAGGTAGTAAATGCCAAGGGCTAAATGGAAAAAGCAAACAAAACTCACGTATTACAGCCAGGGTGACATCTGCCCCTGAAAAATTTCCAGTTTTCCAGGAAAGTCCTGGCATAGTCCTGTTGTCCTAGCCTTATTTTTTTTTTAATTTATTTATTTATGCATACAAGAGCTGGGGAACAGACCAGAGGTGTGGGGGGGTGAGAGGATTCACCAGAGACAGAGTGGGGAACAGAAAAGGCAGATTGACCAAAGTACACTGTTGAGGGGAGCAGTGGGTGAGTCAGGAGAGGTCTGCTGCACCATGTGGCTTGCTCCCTGGCCAGCCAGGGGATCGAACTCGTGCTGCAGAGGCTGCGGACAGCTTTATAGGTTGCCTTAACCCCATGCGCCACCAGGGAGGAACCTAGCCTTATTATTGATGCTATTCCCCTTCCACTCTCAAAAATGTCCCAGTTTAGGCAAATCATGGAGTTACCCTACCTGCAGACCTCTATAAGCAGATGTGATCATTCAGAGATGTGTAAAACCAGACGCTGAAAAAGCCTGGTCCCAAGCTGGGCTGTGGAAAATGTTAAGTGCAATGAGTGTAGAGCAATACATACATGTGACAAAGAATATGAGTTTTCAGGAGGAAACAAGTCCTCCTGTTTGTAGAGGCTTCTTTATGAGGCAAATCAGGGACACTGAGGAGGTAGGGCAGATAAAGTATAGGGGGCATCATCCACAATGAAGAGAAAGTTGTGTGGCAGCGTAAGGTGTTTCTACATTACATTAAAGACACTAAGAAGCCACTGAAGGTTTCTTGTTAGTTGGTCATCATCATGCCTCTATCCTAAACTTGAGAGAAAGGTTAATGTGCACAGGTAAGGTCTGCAAGCAGCACTCTACCAAGGGAACTGGAAGGTACATGAACCTGGGATGATGGAAAGATCCAGCAGGGATCTACCAGTATAGGCCAGATGCTGAAAGGCCTACAAAGGAATGATGTGAATATGAGGAAGGAAAAGATGAGAGAATTATGAAGGCAGAACTTTTGACAACTGCGTGATTTTTGAGAAAAGGGTGACAAAAGTCAGTGACTGTCATTCTGCATGAGATTGAGGGCATCCTTGATGGAATGTGGAAGTGGATAGGTGGCCTGGTCAGTCTCAGTTATAAATGAAGCATTGAAATTGTTTGAGTATGATGTTTTGAGTTTAAAAGTACTATGGACTGAACAGTTGTATCCCTCCCTAAAGCACAAACTGAAGTCCCTAATGTGATAGTTTTTGGAGGTGGAACTCTGGGAGGTAACCAGGTCAAGAGGGTGGTGTCCTCAGGAGTGAGACTAGTGTCCTTATAAAAAGGGATGAGAAAAGAACTTTCTGGACCATTGGGAGGAAACAATGAGAAGACAGCCATCAGATCCAGACTCTATCCATATCCTGATACTGAACTTCACAGTTTCCAGAACCATAAAAAATGTCTGTTGCTTAAATGACCTACTATATGGTATTTTCATTATAGTGCCCAAAATGACGAAGACAAAAAGGAGGGTGGGACATCTGAGTAGAAATGCTTAGCTGAGATCTATACATGCATAGCTACAGCTCAGGGAAGAGTTAGGCCAAATGTGAGTAATCAAGGCTGTTTGTGTGAAGCAGAGAGGAAAAATAGCTGGAACAATGGGATCCACCTATTACACAGGCTTGAATTCAATCAAGGCAATCAAAAGGCAACAGAAACCAAAGCACAAAATAAGAGGCTAGCATGCAGAACAAACTATGAACTGAGGAAAACTCAACTAGGTTCGGTGATTAGTGGGGTCCTTAACACCATGAAAAAAACATTCTCGGGCCTCCCCTGGTGGCGCAGCGGTTGAGCGCTGGCCTGTGAGGATGCCCACAGCCTCTGCAGTGCCGGTTCGATCCCCGGCCCTCAGCGAGGGTCCCACATGGCACGCAGACCTCTCCTGCCACCCGCTGCTCCCCTCAGCAGTGTATTCGTCAGTCTGCCTGTTCTGCTCCCTGCTCTGGCTCTGGTGAATTCTCTCACCCTCCGGTGCTTCTAACTGTGTCCAGTGCTTGTATAAATAAATAAATCTTAAAAAAAAAAGTCTTATAAAAAAAAGGAAAAAAACATTCTCAATAAAGCAACATGAGAGATCTGGCTAAGAACTGGGAAACTGAAGAAGTGCAGGCAGAGAGCAGATTTCTTAAAGTGATCTAGAAACAAAATTACATTTCTAGTTCAGTGCTATTCCGGTAACAGGACCAGGGAAGGTATGATCACCTCTGCAGAAAAGTAGCCTGAAAATTGACTTGCTACCATGCTCTATATTTTATCATTTTAATGGCAATACAAAAGAAGCAGGAGTGAAAGCTGTAGATTTAAGGGCAGTGACTAAGAAGTCAATCAGGAAAGGCAGAAGCTGAACACGTGCACCTAGAGAAAACCTGAAAGGCAGAGGAAAATAAAAGTGAAATGCAAAACATATTAAGGTGAAACCATTTTAATGCAAGTTTTTAGAGAAAGAGGAGTTGAAAAGCTGAACATCACACTTTCTGCTTAATACATTATGAGTTTTTATGAGGTAAAATCCTGAGAGGAAAAGTGGCTCTAGTTCAAAGGGAATTTAGAGAAATCCTTCATCCAACTGGTTATGCAGTTTCAAGCAAGATAATTAGCTGCCAAGTCTCACTTTTCCTAATTAGTAAAATGAGGGGTGAATTTCGTGCTAAATCTCCTACAAAACAACTTTTATCTTTGGAGTACCAAGATTTTATGATAATGGGTAATATTTTCAGCATCAACATGAAGCACGGAGAATGCTGACTTGTGTAGTTCACAAGGGCAACATAAAGATGCCCTTTGTGACTTCCCACTGAAATCAGATGTCAGGACTAATTCGACATCGAATTAGACTCCCCAACAGTCTTTATTTGGAAATCTGATAATATTGTTTGTAACCAGAACTATACCCATGTGTCCCCAGTACCTTTCACCCACAAGCCCACTTAGATGATAATAAAACCTATTGTGATGAAATGGAAAAATTAAATACATTAATTTTACATATTTTGGGCTTTGGTGCAATTTATATGCTCAGATAGCACTCTCTTTGCCAAGAAACTAAAATTGGATGCAGGAGAGTTTAAGGCCAAGGGACCAAGAGAGAAAAAAGAGGGTGCCAAGTTTAGACTTCACCAACCTCCTTCTGCAATTGGCTGGGTAAATCACTTCACCCAAGTCCAAGCCTCAGGATCTTCATACACAAAATAGGCAAACTTTAGAAGTCTGATTTAAGGCTTAAAAGAAACACAATGATACAAAGAGCCTGACACAGCAGGATCTTACTAAGTGGTTTTCTATCTTCACTATGGTCTTCCATGGATAAACTCCTATCCAGACTATGTTGACTGGCTAAATATAAGTATTATTTTCAAAAAGGCTACTTGGTATATCCGGTCTTCAGTAATGTCATTTTGTTCAGCATTGTTTCATTATAATGTTGATGAGAAAAAGACAAATCAACCCCCAGCCAGGCAACCTCTGTGTGGTCTGCACTATCTCCACACCTCCCTGTGGTATTCTTTGGGTACCCCAGCTTCCTCCTGCATCCCAAAGACGCGCATGTTCAGTTCACTGATGTGCCCTTGTCTCCTAGCCTGAGTGAGTGTGGATGTGAGGGTGCCTGTGAAGGAAGGGCATCCTGTCCACAGTTGACCTTGAATACTGAGCTGCCAAGAAAGACTTCAGGCTGACCTGCAACCCTGCACTGGAATAAGCAGGCTGGGCAATGAAGGAGTGAATGAATGAAGACAAGCTATGGTTTAAAACTAGAAGTGTTTGGGGTCTTTATTTAGAAATCTGATAATATTGTTTGTAACCAGAACTATGCCATAGGAACTTAACTCTTGTTCCTATTGATTAGCCTATAGTGAAAATGATTTCTTTATAATGTTCCACATTAAGTCACCATTTCCAGGAATCTGCTTTCAATGGTGAGGTCACACTGTTGTTCTATTTTCCACAGTAAGTTTCTCTACCAAGCATAGTAAGCCAGGCCTTTGGGCCATGAGAGCGGAAGACCACCCCAAGATCTGGCACCCTGGGGGATGAGCTCCCCCTAGGGGAGAGTGTACTCTACAACAAGCTCCTGGAGGAACAAGCTTTTATTTTTAGCCTTATTAGATTTTTATTTATTGTAAGTTACTTTAGATTTCTGTTTTTCATTATGCTCTGGCTAAAATTATATTGTACCCCAATTTTATTTCTGTAAGCCATCTAGTCTCCAGCTGGCAATCATTAATATAACAAATGCATAACTAAATAAGAAGTAAAGATCTTCACAGTATTTTAGAAAAGATTTTAGATATCCTATAACCCACACTTTATGGGTTTTTAAAATTAATTTTTAATTGTGGCAACATTAGGATTGTCTCCATCAACTATCACCACGCTAGGGTACCACCACTGAATCTCCCACAGTCCGTTGTGCTTCCTTCCCTTCTGGTTCCTACTCCTCCCTCCTTCTCAGCTTTCAATGCTTCAGTTCTTTAGTAAGTTTTCAAGGGCTAGCTTTTAAGGTTGTCTTTCTCTGGGTCTTGGTTTGGTTTCTCTCAATTACCACTTATTAGTGACACCATCCGGTATTTATCTTTCTCCTTCTGACTTATTTTACTTAGCATTATCTCTTGTTTCATATTTCTGAAACTCCCATAGCTTACCACCTAGGGGGTACTCCACAAAGCTGATTAATTGATTTCCAGGAACCTGTTCAACCACTTTCTATTTGACAATAGTAATATCTTGCTGAGACTTATCACAATTGACTCATTCAAGAAAAGGCTAGCCTCTGGCTTAGTTAGAAAGCCTAGGAACAGGGCCTCCCCAGTGGTGCAGCAGGTTCAGTGCAGTGCTGTGAAGCTGTCTGCAGCCTCTGCAGCGTGGGTTAGATTTCAGCCAGCCAGGGAGATTCCCACATGGCGGCCAGGGAGATACCCACATGGTGCGGCAGACCTCTCCTGTCTCACCCACTACTCCCCTCAGCAATGTTTTCAGTCAGTCTGCCTGTTCTGTTCCCCATTCTGTCTCTGGTGAATGCTCTCACCCTCCCACGTCTCTGGCCTGTACCCAGTTCTTGTATAAATAAAACAAAATCTTTAAAAAAAAAAAAAAAGAAAGTAAGTCTAGGAACAAAATGCTTTAAAAAAAAAAATCAAAACCACTGGCTTCTTGACAAAACTGCTCCACCAAGTGATGGTAGGAAATCACAGTACAGTCAGATCCCATCAAAGACCTAATCAAGGCTAACAAGTCCATGGAGAACCCCAAATGACAAATAATACAAAGGACATTTATAATTGACTTTGACAGGCTCTCATCACTTCATAATAATAAAATGCAAATGTCATCTACGGGAATTCATTTTCAAAGTTTACTGGTAAACATATAATTGTCTTTGACAGATATTGGAGGATTCTTTCAGGGACTAATTTCCCTTATAATTAAGTCTGGCTTAAATTAATATTAAAGTCAGTTCTGAAGCCTTAAACACACCTCTGTTAGGTAGTGAGTAGTCTGAGGTGAGATGACTAGGCCATTAAGTGTTTACCCTGGGGAAATATGAAAGGTGCTATCAAGACTCTAAGGCCTACTGAAGGGCAGATTCCTTATATGCCTTAATGAACTCAGACCAAGGGGGTATTCTGATTCCCAACCTTTGAGTCTCACCTTTATTTTAGCACAGGTTTTAGGCTCACCTGTTCTTATGTACTGGCAAAATAACAATGTTCTTTTGTGTGGGAATCACAAGTTAAAGGTCATAGAGTTATCTGAGGTGGAACAGGTAATAGGAACAGCTGGCAGTAAAGATTGATATCTGACTACCCAAAGGGAAGGAAGAGCAGGAACCCAGAGAGAAATGAAGGGTCAGAGGGACAACCCTCTGTAATAATCCAGCTTCTTCAGAGAAAGTTCTGGTTTCATCCTCTCAAGAACATAATCGTGACGGGGGGGACCACTGGAAGTCGGGATAAGAAGCAAGCACAGAAATGTCAAGTAGGCTGGGAACAACAGACAAAGAGGCAACCCCGTTATATAGAGTTAACAACAAAAAAAGTGACAATACTGCTGAAATATATATAGAAGGAGGCACTAATTCATCCTCAGCCCTTATCTTCCTCACTCAATGCTTCTAAAATTCGGCAGCTTTTAGCTATCCTGGATCTACTTCATACCACAGCTTTCTACCCCAATTCTCCAGTACCTTCAATGAGTTCTTGAATCCTCCTGGATGGGAGGTTGGGTGGGGGATCAAGCACTAATTGAGTCAACACCCAACACACTGACACTTGTGTCCAGCACCAAACAATAAGTTGGAAACACAAATGAATCACAGGAGCCCATCCTTTCAAGGGGCTTGATTTGTTCTGAGAAGCAAAGTAGTTTGGGGCAAGGGCACGAAATTTAGAAGCTGAGGACTGGGTTCAAATCATGTGTATACTATTTAAATGTTAGGGGGATAAAAATCAAATCATTTAACCTTAGTCTCGGTTTCCTCATCTGTGAAATGGAGTAAATACAACTACTTCACAGGGTTGTCCAGAGCAATGATGAGGTGCCAGGCAAAGATTCCTTTCAGTCACAGAGCTGTTCTGTTATTTTCAATTAACATGCCTTACTCCTCTCTCCAGAGTTTCCTCCATTCTGTGACCTCCCTGAGTAAGACACAGAAGGTCGATAAAAGGTGAAGGAGAAAGGCATCCAACCATATTCAGACCCCAACTTGAAGGGTTTCTTCAGTGATAGAAATCATGAAAATCATTCAGTTGGTTTCTTTTCACTCAGTTCCTCTCCAGAAGTAAGCAAGATGTGATAAATTTTCTTCCCCAAACTAGAAAGCCAGTGCTGTGCTCACCTTGACTCCATAGCCCTTGACAAACAAGCCCAGAGTCCCAAAAAGCAAGAGTGTGATGCTGGCCGGTTAGTGTGATAACCATATGTGGATGTGGGCTGAGCGGAGGCCAAAAAGACATGCACAAGACATATGAAAGCCACACACTCTCAGGCAGCAGGCAGGACTTGCCAGACACACCAACGTGAAAAGAGCAACTCACCAAAGGGACTGAAGAGGTCACATGGCCAAGGATGGGGGGCAATGCAACACGTCACATGGGTGTCCACACCCAAATCGAAAACAAGATGGCACAGAGGAGAATTACTTAAATCAAAGAACATCCTCCAAATTACACCAACCAGCAGAACCTTGGTTAAAAGTAATGAGCTGTCAAGACCCCAGAAGTGAAGTAAAAAGCCAAAGGGGGGGCATTTTAAAACTTCATTTCTCCCTTGGTGTAACATATACACAGAGCTCTTGATAAGCTCTTTATCTCCAAATTTTTAACCACCAGTTCCCATCTCCTGAAGAGAAAAGCCGATTTTCCAGGAACATTCTCTTTCCATGAAATTAAAAGCTATCAAAGCAAACTTTCCATTTTGTAATTCTCAATGGCTATAATTCATAATAGAAATAACTTTTCTGCTAAATTATCATCTTAGACTATTTACTGTTTTGACCCACAACCAAAAGTGTGACCACAGTTTGGGAAATCCTAGAATCTTAATTATAACATTAAAGTACTTACTGACAAGGTGAGCTGGATTTCTTTATGATTGTAGTTTTTGGAAATTCTTTTCTTCAAAGCTTTTACTGCATCTTTTGGCCTATGGCGATACAGGTAGTAAAGTGATCAACTAAGGCGCTGCTGAACACAAGTAACCTCTGCAAAGCAACAAGCCTTGTAGAAAGAGGCAAGGCAAAGGAGGAGACTAAGGTCTTGGCTCTGCTGTCCCCAACTGTTTCCTCATCTATCCAGCAGAAAATACCATTCACATCCTTGTGAGAATCAAATCTGTACCTAACAGTATTACCTAGACAGTACTCGAAATCCAACAGGCTCATACCCATATCCCTCTATTAATGCACAGAACCAGTTATAGGAAATGTCATTTCCAAAGCCATGAAAGTTACCAATTTTAATTAAGACCATTGGGTCCACAGCACCCTAAAAGGCAAGAGGATGTGGGAGAATGATGAACATCCAGGCCAGCTTCTAATATGCTATGACTATATGTTATAAAGAAAGAACTAAGTAGAGGGTCAAAATTTACTTTGAGATGATGAAAAAAGTACAAACTTCCAGTTAGAAAATAACTGTGTGGGGATGTTATGCAGAACATGATGACTACACAGTTAACATTGCTGTATTGGTATATTTGAAAGTTGCTGACAGTGGATTCTAAAAATTCTCATGAGAGAAAAAAATGTAACTATATGAGGCAATGGATGTTAATGAAATAAACTGAGTGTGGTAGTCACTTCCCAATATATGTATTTCAAGATTGTACTCCTTATAATAACCTGTAATTCACAAACTCAATAGTTTCTTTAAAAAATTCTGAATTTTCTAAAGTTTAAAAGGTAAAGCAGAAGATGGTATATCATTTAAGATTATGGTATGCTATATACCTTAAACTTATACAATGTTCTATAACAATTACATTTCAAAAATCTGAGAAAAACACAAATCCTTTCTACTGTTGTCTTCTAATTTTGTTTTCTGTATTTGCATGGGCAGAGTTTCTATCATAATTAAATAATGATTACATAGAATTATAACTATTAAAATATATTATACCAATATAGATATATTATCTGTATTTCTCAAAAAAAAAAAAAAGCCTACATAAGATCTAGGATTAGACATCTGGAAAAAGGTAAAAGAGTAAAGATACTATCTTAAAAGGGAAAAATTACTTTGCGACTTCTTTATTTCTCCATTGGCAGTAGAAAAATCAATGATCAAGTATAATGTTTTTTTCAGCAACATACTGGGCTGAATCCCTTTCGTTATCAGTTATCACTTTAATATGCACAGGAAAATTAAGAAGATTGTACTTTTCATTATAACCTGTAATTCACATTAAATTCAAAAACCCATCTTAATTTTTTTTAAACATTCTGAAGTCTCTAAAGTTTAAAAAGTAAAGCAGAAGATAGCACATCATTTAAGGTTATAGCATGACCATGATTATAGAATGACCAAGGCAAGTTGGCATCGAGAAGAAAAAAATAATTGTCCTGTTTTCAGGGGAGGAAAAAAAAAGGTTATTTCCTGCTTAATAATGACAACTGCCCAGAAACAGATCACCATCACTAAAATTTCCTGACAATATTTTCAAGTTATAGTAACGCAAATTACTAGCAATCAGAGTCAGATGAATTTCCGAAGAAGGAAAACAATTTATCCTAAAAATATAAAACTTGAAAGACAAGGAATTTGAGCCTCACAAAGATAAAATTTGAAACTACTAAGGAAAAAGCAAAGAGAAAAAAAATAATGATGGATTCTCGAAATATGCCACAAGCTCAAACAAGGAACCATTGTAGTATTTCAACCTGCTTTGTCTTCAAAAGGCAGTAGGTGCCTAAGGTATGATGAAAACTCTTTCAACAAGAAAACCTAAGAGCTTTTGCTGGAGAAAACACTCTGTAGTTCTGACACTTCACCCCGTACCCTGTACTCACCCATCCTGGGCAGCGTTAATTACGTCACAGATGTGCATGAACTGGCCCCAATCTTCAGTTTGAACTCCAGCAAATGTAGCCTTTTCTGCAAAGAAAAAGCTATTGTATTGAGTCTGAGCTGCAACAGAATAAAAAATGTCTGGTCTTCCTGAAATAATTTGCCTGGTGTTCCCTAGCAAGTACCAGTACATTTATAGGGCAAAGTGATTTTCTTTTTTCCTGGCCAATTCCTGGTAACCCAGGAATCAATCAGAACCCAAGTTCAGAGTGCTGCCGAGGCAACAGCAATGAATGACCTATTAATAAAGGTTGTAGGCACAACACCTGACTGCAGAGTCAGGGCAGGCTAGCTACATCTCCATGTGCCTGCCCATCTTTCAGATGGGCACCTGTTGAGCAGCCACAGACAAGGTGAAGAGCATATTATTATAATATCCTACAATTTCAGTTAACCCACTATTAGAGATGATGAAACAGAAATTCAGAGAAATGAAGGAAATTATCCGCTACACAGCTTGTCAAGGTAGAACTAACATTCAAATCTAGGTCTTTTCAAGCCAGTTTTTGGTTTTCTTTTTTAAGCCATTTACTGTTCCTTGGGGGTTTAGGAAAAAAATCAGAATTGCTAAAATTGCTGAAAATCCTTTTGCATTAGAGTAAGATCACTTCTGGCAATTGTGCCTAACCAAAGCTAATATAGGGCTCTTGTACCTGGAACCCCCTCATTAAACAATCAGATTTTATTGCCTCACCAGACATCCTCTTTAATAATATAAAACGTCTTCTGGAAAAGTAACAGAACAGTCAACCTGAGTTAATGAATGAGCTTACCATCTACCCTACTGAAAGGAGAGGGTCCCTTCTTTGAAAACCAGGTACCAGGAGGTTTGAAGAGAGAAGAATGAAAGTAGATGATGAATGGAAGAACAATGGCATGCTGAGGGGGAACCCCAAAGCTCAGGCTGCTTCCCATCTATTTAAATCTTGCATTCCATGGACAGAGATGACAACCTCATGTTGTTTGGGCACACGGTCCTGTGCCCTCTGCCAGGTGTTACCTCCTATCCCTGCTGTATGGTCCTTGGTACCCAGCTTCCAAGAAACCTCCCCACTCACCCTTCAAAAACCATAGCAGAGTCAATTTCTCCCATTTCATAAGTTTTGGGTATTTTTTCATTTTTCTTGTTTTGCCAAACTATGTTACCGTAGTTACTACAAATTGTTTCCATGTTCCCTTCAAGATTGTGTGTTCCCTGCAGGTTGAGATTCTATTCTTCCCTTTGCCTCGCCAGAACCTGGCCCAAGTCAAACCACAAAGCTGACCACACTAAAGAAGTAGCCAGACTAGGAAGATAGTCTGAATTCACTTTTGTTCAGGGTTCATATAATAATATTCAATAGGGATATAGCCATCAAGAGTTGAGAAAGCATTTTCTCCTGAATGATAGCTACTCTCACCAGCTTATAAAGACATGGGAACTAAGGTCCAGGTCAAGTGGTGTGGTTTCCTATCACACAGCAGTTAACTGAACTGCAGCCCAAATTCTCCAAATCTGAGTCTCCTCACTGTAATTACCAGCTCCCCAGAATTTCCTCACCTAAGTTCCCAACATTATTGCACTTTGCCTGGCGTCATCATGCACTTCTGCCACACCCGTTTCCCAAGAGAGAATCAGGGAAAGAGGGAGAACTGAGCTGCTGCTGGGAGAACAGCCCAGTCACTGCCTTCAGCTTCCACCAACAGCCACATGAGAAAGAAATGAATTAAGCAGATGCCTGCGTGATCCCGAGTGGCCCCAGATGGCTCCCTCATCTCTCCCTTACTCTCCTCACTCCAACACAGAGTATTTGCCTTCTCTTTGTTGAGCCAGGAAAAAAGTAACAGGTTGTAAGGGCTCGGCGCCAGGCAGAACTGGTTTGGAGAGCCTGGCCTCTGCCGGCGAGGTCAACCCACTGAAGCTCCCCAGCCTACTCCCACCTCTGTAAAACGGACAGAGCAATACTGGGCCCTGGAGGGAAGACTCTTCCCGAACCCTATTCCCTGGGCCGGCAAGTGGACCCACTCTTTTTGTAGAGACCCCTGCACTCCACCCCCGAGTCCCGTGCACGGTTCACCTGTTCGGTTTCAACCTGCCCAGAAGGCATCCAAAGGCAGCGGCATTGGGGCATTCTGCACGGACACAGGGGGACCCTAGAGAGACCGAGCCAGGGAAGCTGGCAGGGCTTCTGGTGGAACGCGGGCGCGCCGGGAACGCTCAGGGGGAGGGGAAGGCGCTCCAGAGCCTCGGATCAGCGCAGTGCGCCGCGGCGGAGAAGGCAGTCCAGGGGCAGGAGGGGTCCCTCGGCCCCCAAGGCCCGCCCGGCCGCCTCACTCCGCGCCCCCCTACCTATGAGCTGGCCCACGGAGGTGGCGTAGGGATCCCGGTGACTCTTCCCAAAGGCCATGGTCGCCCCAGAAAGCCGGGCCCAGGAAGTCTGCTTCCCCCGCGCGCGGCTCGCGGCTCCACCCGCTCCGCGCCCCTGGCTCCTCCTCTCCGCCCCGGCTTCCCCGGCCCCGGAGGAGGCGGCGCGCCCCGCCCCACCGCTGCGGGGTGCGGGGCGCCGGGCACCGGGCGTGGGGCTCCGGGGAGGGGCCCGCGCACCTGCCGCGCCCTCACCCCGGCTCCAGGGGGCGCCCTCCGGAGCTGTCGTGGGGGCCGCGGGAGGGACGCGAGGGGCGGGCTGGCGACGCAGGTGGGCCGGCGAGGCAGGTGGGCCGGCGAGGCAGGTGAGCTCCGGAATCAGAAACTCCGGCCTACTGGGCAAATCGCCCCTCTTCTCTGCGCCTCTGGCTGCCCGCTGTCTTGAAGCAAATAGGGGAGTTAAAAACACATCTCAAGGATATTGTGAGAATTGAGGGTGTGAGCCGCTTAGGTCAGTGCGTGACACCCACAAAATAAATATCTAACCGCTCTGAAAGAACAGAGCAAATAAAAGACTTCACCCTCCAGCCCATCTTCGCTCCAGGTTCGGAAGGGGAGGTGGTCCCTGGCCCTTTAAAGAGGCAGGTGCTGGATTAGAGGAGGGATTTGCCTTCAAGTTTCGGGGTCCTTGGGGAGCGGGCGTCCTTTGTCTCGCCCCTGTTTCCCAAGGGACCCCAGGACGCAGCCTCGCAAGCACTTGGCTCCCAATTCTCCCCCCCCCGCCCCCCTCACGGGAGCTGTGTTTTCCAGCGAAGCTGAGAAAAGAGGGGCTTTCCTTTTGCTCTGGCAGGGAGTGTGTTTGGCCTTAAGACTGCATTGGAATGTAAATCCGAGTTGAAACAGTCCAACTCCTTTCCCTTGCCCTTTCAGAGGCCTAGTTTATTTCCTTTCCTCGTGCATTCAATTAACATCTGATTAGTGTTGTTAATCTCCAACGAAGGCGGGAACCTGCTAGAGAGTGGGTGTCTCCAAAAGATGCCAATTAGCCATCCTCTTGCCACCAGATCTTGCTTCCTGCCAACCCATGCCCAGTTCCCCAAGTTCGTTTTTTAGGTCTGGAAATGATAACGACATACATCAATGGAGGTTGGGCATGACTTATGTCCTTGGTCTTTCATATTTTTAAATAGAAATCAAAACCAATTGCAATGTCTAGCAAGTAACTAATCTGGGATCCCCCCCCCCCCACCACCTAATTCTGTTTCTAATTTTTCTTGATTCAAATAAGGGAACATCTGGAATTCTAAAATGCAGGAATGAAACATTTTTGTTGTGATGTTATTTCTCCTAATGGGATTAGTCCTACCTGAAACTAATATTCTCCATCTGCTTTTCTAGGTGGACTAGCTATTTACTCTGCTGACACTGCTGAAAGCCTCTTTTGTGACATCAGCAGACTGATCTCTATTCCATGTTACAGACTCTCACAAAATATTTTGCCTGCTCTGACCCCTACAATCAAGCCACCTGAAAGCAAAAGCCTGTTATAGGTTGCTGGTGGTGTCAATGGCTTCCACCAAGGAGTGAGAACTAGGAAGAAACCAACCATCCAGACATTAACACAACTCTGCTACTTCTTGTGTGGGAGGGTATGTTGTTTTACATTTTCTGGTCATCTGAGATTGAGGCACTGAGAACAGGAGAAAAGCCACCTGGGAGCATAGCAGGGTATTATGGTTGAGGAAATAGATGTAGGTTAATGAGTACTACCTGTGTCCTATCTCAGCTACACATGGTCAGAAGCTTTTCTCTCTCCCTATAACCACAGGGTATTGTGGTGGCCTCATTCTTAGCTCTCTGTGTTCCAAGACTCTCCATGATCATCTAATCAGTGAAAATCAACGAACTAAATGTTAATATGGCCTGGACACAGGATAAGAGAATGCATAGATAGGTTAAAGTCAAGAGGGGCAGAATCCCAGAAAGAAAGAAGGGGTAGAATTTCTGGATATCAGGAGCAAAATCTCACCATGATGTTAGTTCCAAGGACACTAGGTATTTATTTATATGTAAATCCTAATGCTAGGGAAAAGCTTGGGGAAGAACCTTTATTTCAAATATACTAAGTGCCCGGAACTGGATCTTAATGTAGTCTTCCCAAATTTGATTTTTTTTTAAATTTTTTTTTTTTATAGAGGCATGTTTTATTTATTTATTTGTTTGTTTGTTTGTTTTGTTTATACATGCACTGAGTACAGTCAGAAGCGCGGGAGGGTGAGAGGATTCACCAGAGCCAGAGCGGGGAGCAGAGCAGGCAGAAGGACCGAAGCACACTGCTGAGGGGAGCAGCGGGCGGCAGGAGAGGTCTGCGCACCATGTGGGACCCTCCTTCGGTGGCCGGGGAGCAGCCGGGGATCGAACCGGCGCCGCAGGCCGCGGGCAGCTTCGCAACCCAGCGCTCAACCGCTGCGCCACCGGGGAGGCCCCAGTCTTCCCAAATTTGGAAGCAAGTGTCATTTGCCTCACTTTTCCAAATACACAATCTGAGAATAAAAAAGATAAAGCTAATAAATGGCTCGAATAGAATTGGAATCATGGCTCCAAAGTCCATACCATAGTCACTAGGTCAACCTGCTCTGTTTGATTTCTAACGCAACCTCTTGAAGAAGAGGGGGATGGGGCAGTCATATGAGTCCTGATTTCCTTTCTGTTCTTATTCAAGTGTGCTCATATTTCCTATACTAGAACTATGTGCTGGGTGTTTGCTAAATACATTATATGCATAGCTCATTTCATCCCATATTAACTGAGGCCAGTACCATTATTGCTCTATTTTACAGATTAGAAAAGCCAAAATATTTTACTAATTTTTTACAGCCTCTTTGGAATTAAAGGACTGTCTGATTCTAGAAACTGGGACTTTAACGTGCTATGCCGCCTTTCATGTGTAGAGCTTTTCATGGGTAGGTGGTACCCTTGACGAGTTCACACTTTTTTTTTTTTTAAAGATTTATTTATTTATTTACACAAGCACTGGGTACAGTCAGAAGTGTGGGAGGGTGAGAGAATCCACCAGAGCCCGAGCAGAGAGCAGAACAGACAGACTGATGAAATACACTACTGAGGGGAGCAGCAGGCACTGCAGGAGAGGTCTGCGCGCCATGTGGGACCCTCGCTGGCAGCTGGGGAATGAACCAGCGCTGCAGAGGCTGTGGGCAGCCTCGCAGCCCAGTGCTCAACCACTGTGCCACCAGGGGAGGCCCCACACTTTTTTTTTTAAGATTAACTGTTTATGCATACAACTGGGGTGTAAGCCTGAGGTGTGGGGGTTAAGAGGATTCACCAGAGAAAGTGGGGAGTAGAGCAGGCAGATTTACTGAAATACGATGCTAAGGGAAGTAGCAGGTGAGACAGGAAAGGTCTGCTGTGCCATGTTGGTTGCTCCTTGGCTGGCCAAGGAAGGTACTTGTGCTGCAATGGCTGTTGATAGCTTCATAGTGCTGCCTTTTACCCCTGTGCTATGAGGCATGCCCCAAGAGTTCACACTTTTTTTAAAGATTTATTTATGCATACAAGAGCTGGGGTACAGACCAGAGATGGGGGGGGGTGAGAGGATCCACCAGAGACAGAGTGGGGAACAGAACAGGCAGACTGACTAAAATACACTGCTGAGGAGAGCAGCAGGCAAGACAGGAGAGGTCTGCTGCGCTATGTGGGTTGCTCCCTGGCCAGCTGGGGATCAAACTCATGCTGAAGAGGCTGTGGATTGCTTTATAGTGCGGTGCTTAACCCCTTGCACTACCAGGGAGGTCCAGATTTCATACTTTTAATAAAGTGGACTTTAGGGGATGGTGCTTGGAGAATGAGGTGGTTGAACACTGCAAATGCAGGTGTCTAGAAAGCAAAAGTGACTCATCATCAGGCTGTATGCAGCTGAGTCATTTTCATTCTCTAATTTTATTCTGTTCTTACCACTAAATTTTTTTAGATTGTCAGATCTGGATGTGGCCCTAGAAATCATACACTTTATCTCCCATCATCTTAGAGAAGAAAAAAGTGGCAGAGAAGGGAAGTGACTGAGCTAAGGTCATCTAGCTCCAGGCTCTGAGAATGCAACACGCTGGTTTTAAGTCCGAATCCCAAACTCTTCATGCTCTTTTAATCTTTAAACATGCTCTCTGAAGCCTCCATATAGTATTTTCTCTAGCCCTCTCTTTAGTCTTTTTTGATGGGCACAGTTCCAAACACCACCTACTCTTCCCACTGCACTGTCCCAAGGCAGAAACTCATCTCCATAGCAACGTAATCAACTCTAACAGCCCTTTGTTTCTCAGCCTCCTCTTATTTCCCTCTCTGCAGCATGTGAATCCCCCTTCCCTACTCACTTTTCAGCATACTTCTTATCCTAAATTCTTTTCTGTGACTACTTCTCATGATCTCCTAGCTCCATTTTTCTCCTTAGCCTGCCAACCTAAGCAAGCCTCCCCGTAGTTTTACCATCTACCTCTTCATTCTCCATTTCCCTCAATGAGCTTTCTTGTCATCCTCTGTGAAGTCTTTTCTGACCACTGCCAGGTAATGAAGATTATTTCAACTTCATGCGGTTGTTTTGTAGAATCATGAGATGATGTATGTATAACACTTAGAACGGTGCTTGGCAGGTAATAAAGCTTGGTAAATATTAAATAGTTATCGTTTTTCTTTCCAGCCTACTAGATGACTTGAAATTAGAAAATAGCCTCTGAGATTTAGCAGCATCTCCCTAAAAGCCACTATTTAACTATGCAGGTGTTACCTGTTGGGGAAAAGAAGGTCTTATTAGCATCAACTAGCATATCTGTCACACATTTCGTTTCTATTAGCATGTTATGAATAATGTGTGATGTGTTGATCAATTTACTTGAAAAAGGTCTTATGGGAATGGGGTTCTAAAAAAGCCCGAGAGACTCAGAAATGAAATTTCAGGCTGGAGTGGAGGAAGGGCAGGCCCAGAAGGATGCTGCTGGAACATTTGTTCTGCCAGAAAGCCTTGAAAGAAGGGGTGGACAGCAAGGAAAACAGTGACATTTAATTGATATGTCAAACTTGCTTCAAATCCCAGTGTTATCATTCACTGACTCTGGCCTTTGACAGGTAAATCATTCTTTCAGAACCTGTTTCCTTATCTGTAATAATTGAGTTAATGCCGTACTTTTCCCAAAAATGGGTCTCAAGATTAAATGAGATGACATTTAAACACTTAACAAATGTGTGCTGCCTGTGCAATCATTAAAACGCAAGCCTAAATTTGGCTTCTATGCCCTATTACATCATCTCGGTTATTCCCTTTTTTTAAAAAAGATTTATTTATTTATTTATACAAGCACTGGATACAGTCAGAAGCGCAGGAGGGTGAGAACATTCACCAGAGCCAGAGCGGGGAGCAGAGCAGGCAGAAGGACCAAAGTACACTGCTGAGGGGAGCAGCGGGCGGCAGGAGAGGTCTGCGCGCCAGGTGGGACCCTCCTCCGGTGGCCGCCGGGGATCGAACCCCGTGGCAGAGGCTGCGGGCAGCTTTGCAACCCAGCGCTCAACCGCTGCGCCACCGGGGAGGCCTTCAGTTATTCCCTTTTTAACAGTGATTATAACCTGGAAATAATTTGTGAAATTACTTCCTTGCTAACTACAGTAACATGTGTGCAAGATTTGATATTGCCTCCCTTGCACTGCAAAACATACCCTAGCTTTACTGTACTTTGCCTTGCAAATAAGACCCACCCCTCTGCCCACATCAACCCTTCACTGCTTTTCAGAGTCCAACTCTAAGATCTCTTTTAAGGGATATTGCCTTGATGCTGCTGAGAACAATCCTCTGCACTTACCTCCAATGCCATTTGTCCTAGTTGACCGACCCCCTCTTCTTCTGGAACACTCTCCTCCTCTTACCTCTTGTGAAGGGCTGGTGCATGCCCCTGAGCTTTTAGTCTCCCTGTAGTGCTGATCTAAAGCCTCCCTCTCTCCCCACCTCTTATCTTATCACTCTGTTTTATTGTCTCCATTGCACTTACTACTCTTTGAAATGGCCTCATTCCTTTATTTGCTTGCCTGTTTATGGTTCTTTCCCTGTCTTCTAGTTCTGTGAGGGCAGAGAAAGATCTGTTTTATTATCACTGCATCCCCCAGTAACTGAAACCCTACTAGAATGTTCCGTAGTTCATTGAATCTAAAACTCCTCATGTAAGATCCCTACTATTTTAGGGACTACTAAAGGGTGAGGGCTCAGGGAACCCTGGCCAATTGTGTATTCCAGGATACTTTACTGCTAAGGGCTAGCTGCTCCCCAGGGAAACACATAATGCAACTGACAGTTTTTCCTTTTACTGACAATTGAACTGTGACATATTGCTTGCTTACCACTTAGAATTTATCTGTATAGTACTTTAAGTAATCCTTTGAGACTTATTAGACCTAGGTGTTTTATTTTTGCATGATTCCCTGTTCCTATGTGAGAAAGAAATATAAGGAAAATAAATCTACAAAGAGATGTTTTTTCTTCCTGTACAGAATTCAACTCTCTTGATTCACTGCTTGACTCAGAGGCATCAATGTGTCAATGTGTTTTTGTGGCACCTTGTCATCAAGCATTTCTTACAGTGCTTCCCTATCATCCCAACATTGTCTTTTAAGCTGTTGACACCCATTTTGCAAGATTTGATAGTGGTGCTTTATTGATCTTTCCAGAAAGTTTCAATGAAAGGTGTTTAGGCAACATGTAGGACTCAACATCCTCCCCAAAATGGTCATTAAATTTGAAATAGCAAGGGGCTGGACATTAAGAATTGCCTCAAGAGTCACCACCAGCAAGAGCAAGCAGGTTGCATGTGCCCAGGGAGTGACAACTACATTCACATCTCTGCTGCCACCTGGAGACAGATTATCAAACACCACAGGATGTAAGAATGCATCAGAAATGTTAAAATATGAAAGAAGAGAATCTCTTACAATTATAGAAATTCCCTAATAAGTATTCTATAGATAATATCCTCAATGAATGAATGCTTGAATGGAAACAGTATAACTGTAGCATAAGGCAACTGAAGTATCAAATAAATCACCTATGAAAGAAATACCAAGTATTAAGAAATTGTTTCACCTGCCTTTGAATTTTGAAACCAGTAATAAATTCTTGAGGATGATAACAATTCAAATCTATAGCAGGTTCTAAAATTGTGAATATACTTTTCCACTTAGTAATCTATGTATTCATTTTATCTTAGAAATTGGCTACCATGTACTTTAAATGTGTTTTAAAAAAGGCATGTTTTACTTACATTTTCAATAGGGTGCCCTCAGTTTCTTGGATATGAAGAATAGAACGCATTTTATATAGGTATTTTTTTTTAATCCAGAAGAGGGCAGTCTTGTTTAACTTATCTCATTTTCACCCAGTCCTAGCAGGGCAGCCACATTCTGACAGAATGACTTACTGAATTGGGGGGAGGGCTCAGGAAACCCTGGCCAGCTGTGTTTTCCAGGGTGCTTTACTGCTAAGGGCTAGCTGTTCCCCAGGGAAACACGTGGATACCACCGACAGTTTTTCCTTTTACTGACACTAAAATCTGCTGGTATACCAGTAAAACCTGGTATGCTTTTTTAGATAATCAGATAAGAGGTGTAAGGAAGGGGATGATTTGGGGCAATTGACATATATTAGGAATTCGATGGCTGCTGAAGGATATAGTTTAAAGAAAAACAAACATGTTTTGGATTTGAACTCCTGGATAATTAGAGCAATAGATACTTAGAACAAACTGAAATTTGGTTAGAGACTGCCTGGAGATGCTACACTATTAAGAAAGAGAGGAGGTCAAAGATGGGCCTAGCAAAGGAAGTGCGTGCTGTGATTGATTAGCTGACGTTCCAGAGATAGGAAGGGTTCTGGGACAAGGACAGGATAGGATTCAAAGACAAGATCTTCTGTTCCATGGGCTGGTAAACAAGAGGTGAAAAACTTGATGACTGCAGTCCCTGACAACTGCTGCCATAAATTTCCTTGACTCTTTAGTTGTGATTTTTTTTTTTTTTTTTTTTACCATTTCTGAGTTATCTCCCTACAACTTACCAAGTTGACTGCCATGGGAAGAAAAGGGAACCACAGACCTTGAGACCAGAATGGTTCAGACTGGAGTTGTGGGCACAGGATCTCCACGACATGTTCATCCAGGAGCTGTTCACAAGCATGCAGGACTACCAAGCGGCAGCTGATTGGTGCTCACAATTAGCAGTAATAAATGATCTTTAGCCAATTCCACTCTCCTTGCTTTCTCACCAATAAAGTTAATTCCTTTGTTCTCAAACCCCAGCCCTAAAACCCATGTAGACCCCTAGGCCCAGTACCTTGGGCATCTCACTCATGCCCATAGAGGTTTTCCAGAGCTCTCTTTCCTTACTCTTTTGCTAATCATTAAGTGCTGACTCCTTGCCTGCCTTCACTGGTGTGGGTGGAGTCCTCTTTTCAAGGTCTCATGAGCCCTTTCCTAGGCTTGGAAGCAGGGCACCTCAGTTCATCCCCCTGGTTTCTAGTGTGTGGAGCAGCACACAGAAGCTGGCTGGCTCTTCTTATCCTCCTGTGCAATTGGAGGGTGGGGTCATGCTCCCTTGTCCAGAGACAGGGAAACAAGAGAGGATAAAATTATATATATTACATCCTCATTAGGTCATTTATTCATTCATGCATTCATTTATTATACACCATAAAATCTTAATCATGCAGAGGCACAATATAAACTCCTAGGTTAGTAGAAGAAACTGTTCAGTAAAAGATTAGTGCAATTTAGTCCAAGTAAATACTTGTGGACACAGTGAATGTGGACTCAGTGTGGAAATGGGACCAGAGAGTAGGGACTTTGAATGGAGGATTGGACTCTGGTGTGGATTAAAGTTTCGGGGAGCACAGGCTTAGAGCCAAGTCTATTAGTGTCGGTCTGGCACAAACAATGCAATGACCAGGTGGGGACAAAAGGGCTCTATTAAGTCCACATCTCACAAACTGCATCTGACTCTCTATAGGGGGAAATTTCACTTGAGGTGCTTTGCTATTTCTATGGGGAGATAGCAGTTACAACGATGTGTCCAATTTCCTTTACAGTGAAAGGTTCTTCTATGTCAGCTCTGCTAACTGAGCTATGAGAACATATGGCAACATTGCTCATTCACTCTGTAAATAAATATATAATGGGGCCCCCAAGTTTGGTGGGGGCTCTCAAACTTTTGATGCCAAACTCCAGACACCATGGTGGATATGGTATTGGAAATTATGTGTCTTGAAAATCATCTTACAGTTTTTGACTATATTCGGGTTTTAGCCTCACCATTCCTGGGTTCCTGGGGAATTTCTGTTCTTAATTCCAATTGTAACTTTATAGCAGATTTTGCCTTCCTAGAGAACCTCAATGAATCTCACCTTCTGACAACTCGGAAGAGTCTAGCTAACACTCTCCTTTGTCTGCAGTTCAGGAGCAGCGCTACACATCAAATATTCATCACCCAGTATTGGCTAGGTGAGATTTCTCTGTTAGTTGTTCACTATATACTTTTCGCCTTGTCTTTGAGTGAACTGAGTAAGCCCCAGTAAACTTCCCTTGGAAATACACAGATCTTTTCTCTGGGGACATCTGATGAGGAATGAGCTTGAATGTGTGTTCCCTTCAGGCCCCCCGTGCTGCTCACTGAGGCAGTGGGGCTCCATATGGTGAAAATTGTTCTGTGACAAGTCTAGCTTATTCCAGTTGTTGCTTCTATTGAGAATCTTGGGGAAAACCTTTTCATATTTCTCACCTGAGTGCAGCGAAGGATTGTGGGCTGCCTGGGAACAGGTTTAAAGGAAGGTTACATTATTAATCAATATGCTTTTATGTCCAGTTATACCTGGCCAGAGATGAGTCCTTCACACAGCTCTTCACAGTCCCTGGAATTTAATTCAACCCTTGTCATCACTGACAGCATCTTATGGTCCTCTTCTCTGGCTGCCAATCTTAAAATAACTTAGACTTTGAAGGAAATTTTTGTTCTTTCCTTCCACAGTTTTTTCCTTCCATGGGAAAGGAGATGCAGTTTTGCAGCTATTCAAGGTAGAAAGATATTTTAATTTTGAAGGGGTGAATTCTTGCGTTTGCTAACATTTCTACTTTCACAGAGATGCAGAAGGATATTTTATTTCTCTGATCCATTCTTCTCATTAAAACAGAAAAGAAATTTGGCCAGTTGGCAGGCATGGCATGAAACATGGCACCCTGCTTTTGTAAACTCATTTTTGTAGATCTGAGAGTACCTTGAAGCTATTCATGTAAATTCCTTATCCCCTTTCCAGAGCAAGCAAAAACTGACATCAAATTACATTAATAACATACCTAAGTTTGGAGACTTACTTTGAATTAGACACTGCGGCACAGAGTGATGGTAACTTCCCTAAGGTCTGGTATTAAGTAGCAGACACATTTAATTTCAGTGTATGTAACCACTGCACAGTTCTGCCCTCCACGTGTTATGCCCATGAGCTCAGGCTCAAGAAAGCTTAAAAGAACTCTCCAGGAAAGGAACATAGAGAGCTAAAGAAGAAAACCCAGGTGTGAGCAACAAGATATTTTATCCATATAAATTTCCTTTTTGCTTTAAGCAGGAGAAACAGGCTTCCCTGGATTGTGTTGTGAGTAACCAGTCAGACAATCAAGGTGATGCAGTGATGCCCATTTCATGGCGACCATCTATCAGGCGCCTTCACAATGAGGTTACATATAAGAAAAAGCCAGTTCAGGGGGCAGCTGAAGTAGAGATGGACAGAGGCCTGTGGTATACCCTTGTTTTACATGAAGCTTGTGTTTTCTTTATAGAAAGCTATGTTCCATGCTGCTCACATGGTTGTTTCCTGTCCTAATTAATTTTTGAGCTCTCTGTTGGATTTTAATTACAGACCTATTAATTCATGGGAAGAGTTGACAGATGTGGTATGTTGGTCATAGCAAATTAATAGGCAGGTACTGGGTAGAAAGTCCTGAAGACTTTTCAGTAATTGACTCACAGGCTAGTTAATACTGGGAAATACAAGGCAAAACTCAGCATATCCTTAGTTACCTGGACTAGCACTTTTAGAAGGAAAGAAACTGAGATTGAAAACACAGATTCTATTTTGGATTTGTGCTTCCCATTGTGGAAGGTGAGCTGGGGTTGTAAAGAGAAGGCATGAGGATGCTATTAAGCTGTGTCACCCAGAAAGACTTGCAAAAGTCCTTTGGGATGATATAAATACAAAAGAAGTCAAAGAGATGTTCTATTTTAAGCAAATTTTTCTTTAAATCTCAACAAAGAAATTTAGCAGGAGCCAAACTCTAGAGTTCCCTGGAATCAAAGCTGTGAAAATGGCCAAATATTTGTTCCTAAGTCCACTTCCAATTTTGCAACTGAGTCCCAATGTTGGTTGAGAGAGAGGAAAAGCCTTGTCAGAGAAACTTGAGTGCAAAGGAGTCCCTTTGCCCCAAAGCAAAGATTTCCCTGACTTTGCCCTGGCCTACTCCTTGGAAAGGGGACATCAAAAAGGACTGAACTGGGCCTCCCTGGCGGCTCAGGCGGTTGAGCGCTGCACTGTGAAGCTGTCCGCAGCCTCTGCAGTGCGGGTTCGACCCCTGCCAGCTGGTGAGAATCCCACATGGCACAACAGACTTCTCCTGCCTCGCCCACTGCTCCCCTCAGCAGTGCATTTCGTCAGTCTGCCTGTTCTGTTCCCCACTCTGGCTCTGGTGAATCCTCTCACCCCCTGCACCTCTGGCCTGTACCCCAGTTCTTGTATAAATGAATAAAAAAAATTTTTTTTAAACATTTATTTATACAAGCACTGGGTACAGTCAGAAGCGTGGGAGGGTGAGAGAATTCACCAGAGCCAGAGCAGGGAACAAAACAGGCAGACTGACGAAATACACTGCTGAGGGGAGCAGGGGGCGCTGCAGGAGAGGTCTGCGCGCCATGTGGGACCCTGGCTGGCGGCCAGGGAACCCTTGCTGTGGAGGCTGCTGCGGGCAGCTTTGCAGGTCAGTGCTCAAGCGCTGCACCACCAGGGGAGGCCCTAAATAAAAGTTTTTTTAAAAAAATAAAAGGAAGGATTAGGGTCAAAATAAGTGGGGTGCAATTGTATGGGGAATATAACCAAAATGAAAATGCATACATTGTGCAAAAATGAAAAATGATGTAAGAATTATATAAAATAAAATATTTTTTAAAAAAGATGTGGTAGATACATCCTGAGGAGTATTACAAAACCACAAGAAAGGTTGAAATACAGCCATTTGCAACAAAATGGGGGGGAAGTGAAAACCTATGCAGCAAAACAAGTCATTGTGGCTAAAACAAATATTAGACATTCACATAACAGACAATTTGACAATGTAAAACACTTTCGGAAACTACTGGACATCAATAAATATCCTGAGGACTCTGAGGTTAAGAGAGAGGAATGGAAAGAGACAAAGGGCCTTTCCTTTGGGTGATGGTGGGGGAAGAAAAACAAAACAAAAATAAATTAAAGTAAAATTGTAAAAAATAAATAAAAAATTTTAAACACCTAAAAAAAAAAAAAATGACTGAACTAGGCAGTCTCTTCCCATTTGTTTTTTTTTTTTTTTTTTTTTATATAGAGGCATGTTTTCTTTGTTTGTTTGTTTTGTTTATACATGCACTGGGTACAGTCAGAAGCGCGGGAGGGTGAGAGAATTCACCAGAGCCAGAGCGGGGAGCAGAGCAGGCAGAAGGACCGAAGTACACTGCTGAGGGGAGCAGTGGGCGGCAGGAAAGGTCTGCGCGCCATGTGGGACCCTCCTCCGGTGGCCGGGGAGCAGCCGGGGATCGAACCGGCGCTGCAGAGGCTGCGGGCAGCTTCGCAACCCAGCGCTCAACCGCTGCGTCACCGGGGAGGCCCAGTCTCTTCCCATTTGGAAGCGGTCCTGAGGGAAATTTACAAAAAGGGCAGAAAGCTCATGCACAAAAGCTGACATTTCAGCATGTCAAAAAACTTCCCATGAAAACATAGCCTATAGTCTAAGTATGCCACCCCTTTCAGCTCTCCTGCCCCTTGAAGGCTGAAGATTCTTCCTCCTAATCTTGCCTCATTCTTGGGAAGGAAAAAAATAAGGGTGAGTGGAGGAAGGAGCCTTGAGTTGCCTGCAGAATCAATACCTGTGTCTATAGGAAACCAGACCATTCAGGCCCATGTTTATAAGGCAGGATTTCTGAGGGTTTAGAGTCCAAGAAGAACTTTC